CACCCCCTCCCCTACCCACTTTGATGCATTTATCAAATTTCGCCTTGGGGCGGAGTTCTCTTTTCACGGGGGGTAAGATACACTTTAAGTCTGTAATTGTACTTTTCTTCAGTTAAATTCAGTTTGTTCCATCATTCAGAACCAGGTGTTAGCCTGCATCTTAGCTTGGGAAATGTGACAAAAAATACTCCTTCCACGTGGGCATGATGGCTGTAACCTGAGTCACAGTTATAAGAACTGTAGCACAATGTTTTGAGTTTCATGTAGTTTTCAGGAATTTAACACAGCTAAACTGGCACAGCTACACTGAAATCAATGGAGCTGCTACAAGAGTTTGTATGCCTGCCGGAGTCAAGCACAAATAGTGTTCTAAAAATAGCCTGAATGGAGGTCCCAATTCCTGTTTTTACTAACTAGTAAACTGACCACATATATATCAAATGAACACAAAAGTGGCAAAACAGAAACTTACTCCATTTGCTGGGTAACATTGAAGATATCCTTTTTACAAGTGCGCCAGTTGTTGAGGTCACCTTTGATGAAACCGGAGATGATGATAAAAAGCAACACTGCTACATTAACAACAGTAAAAAAGGTATTCAGGATCGAAGACTCCCTCACGCCATATGTAAGTATGCCTGGAAAAAAAGATTTATTATTATTTTTATTATTATCATCATCATCATCATCATCATCAACAAATAGGTCAACAGAATGGACAAGGTATACATTTTATTATCTTGCATCTTAAATGCTTGGAAAACACTTCACAAACGTGTAAATCTCACCAGCCAGCAACATAATGAGTGCAGCAGCAAAGAAGTCTGGGTATGAGGCCAAGCCAGGAATATCCATCATTACATGTTGCTGCAGAGTTTTTCCAATGACGTTGTCTACCAGGTCATCGAAAGTCCCGATCCAAGCTTTCGCCATGCTAGATGTTCCTGATAGAAACAACAAAATAACTGAACAAAAACAATGACCAATCAGCTCAACTCAGAGCAATCTAACATACATTTTCTCTGATTAACTTGAAGATTTGACCATTAAAATTAGTACTGAATTTGACCAGAAAAACTTCCCGTGCTGAATAGTGATGCACCGGTTCACCAGCTAGTGTCGAACAATAACCAGAGCTTCAATCAAAATGTTTGTTTGGATTGTGTGTGTCAGTCAGTGAATACACCACATCCAAGAAAACGTATCAAGGTGGCAGTAGCAGGTCTTGCTGTATAAGTTTTGACAGAAGGTTAGATTAGGTTAGATGTGTGTAGATAGGTTAGATACGTGTAATGTTGGTGTGCGGTCCAAAACACGGGTCTTCAAGCATGTTCCATGTCCACTGCCCTGCATGGCACACCTGATACAGACAAACTACTTAAAATGTCAAATTTAGCAGAAGCCTGTCTTTCATTCATTTCTTTCAGTTAAGTGTGTTGTAGCATGAAAACTTCTAAAACACACAGGACAGTGGGTCATGAGGAACAGGGTTGAAGATTTCTGGTCTAAGGCGTTCACTTCCAACGTCGTGGTCCTGACCTGAGTGGGGTCTTAAAAGATTTCATATGGGTCCCTAAATTGATTTCTTAAAAATGTTCCTCTTTAATCAAGAATTGTGCATGTAGTACATCATTAAGGCACACAAGGGAGCCAGTCACTCCTTCGACTGCATTCACAGTGCCCAGTTACAGAGCAAATCCACCATTTTGAAACTTATTCACCAAGGAAAAGAAACATATGTTTGGCTAACAAAACACACAACGAAAAACCAAGCTACATCTCATAGAAAAACCATACTAGAGAGAATAAAGATCAATTCCTTCCTTAGCCGACTTGCTCTATGCAGAGTAGTTTTTTTGAGTGTATGTTTGTGTGTTTCTGTATAAAACACAGGATCAAAGCTCTTTTTTTAACTCATCCTTCTTATTGTGTGTGTATTTTAAACTGCAAAGGTAGCGCACAAAGTTGTGAAAGACCCTGGACGTTTGTTCCCCCATGTTTGTCATGTGTGTGCGTGTTTCTCAGGACAGATGTTCTAAACTGCAAATTTCGTTCTTCACTGCATCTTGATGTTGTGTGTGAAGGACAATAAAGATTGTGATTCTGAAAACGCAAAGTGGGAACTGTAAGTCTACTCAAAAAAGCATCGACAAAAGGGAGAAAACAGAAAACATTAAAGCGGTGAGAGATGCCATACTATTAACCCTAACGCATTACTAATTATCCAAGGATAAATATGTCCCTTTTAGTTTAGGAGAGAGAAAAAGAAAACTAAGCAGATTATCTACCCTACGATATTGTCTTAACACATTTAAAATGTCTACATTGTTTTCAAATAGAAGTGAATTCAAATTTAAGGTAAATTTAGAAATTTGTAATTAAATAAACCAATGTGATGCTTAAAAGATAATGTATAAGTTTCTTCAGGAGCACAATTCTTTACTTTTTAAAAACTAAACAAAGTCCAACTTTAATGAGGTGACAATGTTGTGTTTCGTTTTTAAATATGGGTCACCCTGATAAAAGTTAGGGAAACATTGATTGTTTGAGGCGTATAAAGTGGAATTGATTTGGAAAATAAAGTCGAAGGAAACTGCTTTTCTTTGTTTACAGAGACGTACCTGCTGTTCACATCAACTTCTGCAGAAAACAGGAAGTCAGGATTACAGACAAATGGCTCTAAATGAAATTATTTTCTGTACATTATCACCACTGAATGAAATATCCTATTTAACCACATATAATGTTGGGATGTTATATCATCAGCTGCTGCTGTCATTTTCTTCCTAACCTGCTGTGACTTGTGCAGTGCTGCTCTGAGCCTGTTATTCGCTCCAGTTTCGTTATTTCTTTGAATTTCAACAAACAGTGCTGAGCTCAGCTGCAGACTCCTTTGAGTTTTTCACTTCTGTCAATGTGTTTTAAAGTCAACTTCTTTGAAAATAGTCTCAAATTCAATCATGTGAGTTTTTCTCCCCTTAAAGAGGTAAACTGACACATTGCTATAAAAATGCAAAAGTTACCAAAGTGTGTAGATGTTTGTATTTGTTCCTTGACACATCACACACTGTCATTGGTTGGGGAGCTTTGTTTACGAAACAAATGGTTTTCAAATGGTATTTATTTCCTGGCTTTAGAAGACAAATCAAATTGATTTGATGTTGAATCTTGTAACATTTTTTTACGTTTATAGATTTTAGGATATAAGATGCTTCCTATAAAAAATAGAAAGTGGATCTTTTCCAATAATTTCATTGAAATACCTTGAATATTAAAGAAGAGCAAAAACTTAAAACAATGTGAAATAGTCACAAAGACCTGATTGGTTCAGTGATGAATTGCAGCAGAAATGACGAGCTTGACTACATGTAAACAAACACCATAACTTCCTTCATCCTTGAGATAAAAACACAATTTTTTTATGTTATTTTGGTTTTTAATTCTCTTTCTGAATCCACTGTCAGATTTGATATTGGTGTGGGATGAAAGTTTTATCCACATCACTAACGGAAACAAGTTCTCAGTGTTTAATATTAACTTACCATTGGCATACGACAGTAACAGGTTCCAGCCTGTAACAAACGCACACATTTCACCTATAGTCACATAGGTGTACAGGTAGGCCGAGCCCGTTTTGGGCGCTCGGGCTCCGAACTCGGCGTAAAACAGTCCTGCGAAGACTGAAGCCACAGCTGCCAGCAGGAAGGAGAGGATGATGCTTGGTCCAGCCACCTCTCTCGCCACCTCCCCTGACAGCACGTAAACCCCAGCTCCAAGGGTGCTGCCGACACCCAGACCCACAAGATCCAGGGTGGTCAGGCATCGGCACAAGTTGGACTCCTCACCTTCTGGGTCCAGAGGCTTCTTTCGGGCCAGAGTGCGATAAAGCTTAAAAGCTTTGGAGCAGGGTCCTCTGAAAGCAGAGGACAGGTAGTTAGGCATGTGTCTTTGGTTGATGGACGTTTGAATAAAGATAAATATATTTGCACTCATTACCTGCTGGTTGTTTCTAAGCTTCTGTTGTCAATAGGACCTGACATACTGACAGGAAGTATATGTATATTGTTAGCATATAATGAAAAAAAAATAAAACAAGAGAACCCTTTCTCCTCCTCAGACTGCACTCTGACACCAGCCTGCAGCACACCTGAAATCAGTTCAGGTGATCAGTCCACTGAGGTGGAGCCTTCCTGCCTGCATTCTTCTTCTTCTGCTCTTCTTCTTCTTCTTCTTCTTCTTCTTTTAGTTTTATGGCGGTTGGCAAACAACTTATAGGTGCATTACCGCCACCTTCCAGACTGGAGTATAGATTAGATGTCCTAACACTATAATCTTCCCATAATACCTGACTTCCTAAGGAAACTAAAAATGCTGTTAAAAACTACATCCTCAGATGATCTTCGCAGCAAATTTTTAATATCTAAATTATATTTATTTCTATTTAACTCTCTGATTAACACCTCTCTTTCCCAACTATATTTATTACGTTCTAGAAAAATATGCTGCACTGTTTCTGACTCTCCACAATAACTACAAAAACCTGTATTATGTTTATTAATTATTTTCAAAGTACTATTTAGCCCTGTATGTCCAAACCTTCTGGATATAACATCCTCTTCTTTTTTATTCATATTACCTTCCCTACATTTCCCTACCTTTTTTTGAATGCTATAATAAATCTTGCTTTTCCTTCTCTATTCCATAATTCATGCCATTTTTTAAAAATATATATTTTGCTTATACTTTTGATCTCATTTCTGCTTATTTTGATATTTATCTCAACACTATTCCTTTTTGCTGCACTCTTAGCAAAATTATCCGCCAACTCATTTCCTACTATTCCTACATGAGCAGGAATCCAAATTAACTTTACCCTGGATCCATATTTTTTTAATTCTAAAAATTGATTGAATAATATTCAATATGATATCTTGTCTCGCTTCTGAATTCTGTTCTAAAATACTTATTAATGCACTACTTGAATCTGAACAAATCAATATCTCCTTCTTTCTCGTTTCCTCACTCCATTCTAGAGCCATTAATATAGCCATTAACTCACCTGTAAAGACTGTCAATTCATCTGTTATTCTTTTATTTTTCATAATATTTAAGTCTGGAATTATAAATGCTATTCTTCTTCTTCTTCTTCTTCTTGTTATGTTTTATGGCAGTTGGCAGACCAACTGAAGTTGCATTACCGTCACCTACTGAACTGGAGTGTGGACAGGAGAGTGCTGCTCAAATTTATTCCTGCAAGCTTTCAGGAAGTACAAACTCAGGTATTTACATTTCAATATATGAGAATCTATTAATTATATTTGGTTATTTCTTCTCTCTAATTGTTTTTTGTTTCCCATTTATGTTTCTGAGTTCCACGTTTTCTGATGTCGTCACATTTTTATACCAATACGGTGACGTCTTTTATAGTGAACAAAAAAATTAACAACTAAATAAGAAAAAAAATCCCATGTTTTCTATATTTACAAGTTTAACCAATAACCTGTTTCAGTTTGACAGAACATTTGGGTGCTTAAAAATCTGCATGGAAGTCATTGATAAATAAAACATGTCTGTCTTATTTAAAGAAATACAGGTAAAGAAACAATCCCACTTTATTTTGTAGTACATAAAATATATCATAAAACTATTTTTTTTATTAAGTGATGATTATGATATGTTGTTTTGTTTAAAATTAACCAATTTCTCAATGAACAAGTTTCACTGATCAGACAAAACTTCTTTTAACAGACGTTTTCTTATTTTTGCTTATGGAATATCTTCACCTGCATAAAAGTAACAGAAGAGAAAGGTAATCAATTAATGTATCACGTCAAATACCATGACTACAGTACACAGCCAAATGTCTTAAAATAACAGCTGTAAATCAGTCAATTTTGCAGATATTGAAACTATATTTGGTGTGGTAGTAGCTGAGAGTCCTTCACAACATGCACACTGAGCACTGCACCTTTCACACAGAACAGTATACACTGTGAACAAAATGGTTTGAATTATGTTCCTTGAATATTTAGGAATATGTGACATTTTGTCAATTATTGCAGCAGAACTGAACATATAAGTAACACATTTTAACACGTTTTGGCTAAATGTCATCAAAGATACAGGATATTTCTAAAATTTACAGTTTAATTTTGAATAGTCTTAGTTTTCTACTGTTAACCTTTACATTGATCAGAGTTGAGTCCGGAAACAAAAGCTTCATGCCTCAGGTAATCTAATCTGACAGGATAAAAGTCAATAATGTGTTCTATAAATGAACACAATAAAGATAGTATAGAAAAAGAATGACTGGATATTTTATCTCTTAATTAAAAAAACATTAATAAAACTTTATGTACAATAAGTTTCCTTCAGGCCCAGGCCTCCCTTACAAAAGAGATCTGCAATTTCAGTGGGATTTGACTGGTTAAAGAACGGTAAAATGGTAAATTGTGTTTATTATCAATAAACTTGATGAAGTGGGAGACACTTTATGTTCATGTGCAAACTCAGCTGGACATGTGTAGTGCTATGTTTACTCTGAGATACCCTCTAATTATTGACAATCTTTTCTGTCTTTACTAATGAAAGCTGAGGATGATGATGTTGTCTCTCACCTGTAATACAAAAGTGCATCACAAGATGGCAGCAGACTCAAGAATAAAACTAAACCAAACTTCTTTCACCTCATTTTTGAAATGATGACATAATGCTGATGAAGAAGTGTGTGTGTGGGTGTGAAGTCTGTTTTAGATTAAACACATAAAGGTGACCTAGGGGGGGAAATAATATGGATTAATTTTGGATTCATTCATTTCAAGTCGAAAACAATCTTTTGTGTAAAAAAAAAAGGAAAGAAAAAAGCAACGTGCAAAACATGTTCATTTTACTGAGATCATCTTTTTCTCTTCAGTGTGTAAAACCTGAGGATTTCTGTCTTCTTCCAGAAGAAGATGGAGACTTTAGATTTAGAGAGGCTATAAATAATTCAGCCTACTAAATTAAAGGGATTTTTACACCTGCAAATAAATCTGGTCCCTCCTCACAGCCTCCCCGCCCACATCTGCAGTAATAGTAACAGTAACGTGTGAATGGCAGGAAGCCAAGTGTGTGTGTGTGTGTGTGTGTGTGTGTGTGTGTGTGTGTGTGTGTGTGTGTG